ATTTATTTTTTTAATGTGGTGCTGAGAATGGAACCCAGCCTCACACATGCGAGGCAAGTACTCTATCTCTGAGCTACAACCCCAGCCCTACATTCACTTTTTATTAATTTTCTTATGGAATTTGTATTCCATTCTCTCTCTCTTTTTAAATTTGTTCTTTTCAGTTACACATGACAGTAGTATGTATTTTGACATATTATATATTTATGGAGTATAACTTCCCATTCTTGTGGTTGTGCGTGATGTGGAGTTACACTAGTGTATTCCATTCTTTTATTTTTTTTATCTCAGCACTTAAAGACACGATTCCATTGTCTCCTGGATTCTGTTGTTCCTGTCCAAAAAAGTCAGTTATTAGGCTTACTTTTGCTTCTTTGAAAGTAACATACCTTTTGTATCTGCTTTCAAGGTTTTCTTTTCTTTTTTTTTATATTTTTAGCTGTAGATGGACACAATATCTCTATTTTTTTTTATTGGTGCTGAGAATTGAACAGTGTCCTGCACATGCTATGCAAGTGCTCTACCACTGAGCCACAACCCCAGCCCTCAAAGTTTTCTCTTTAGTTTTTTTGGCTGTACTATGATATGACGATGCGGTTTGCTTTTTATTTGTTTTACTTGAGGTTGCAACATTTGGTTCAATTTTTTCATCAGTTCCTGCCTCAGCCTCTTGAGTAGCTGGGACTGCTGCTCAATTAATAGTTCACTCTTGACATTTGGTTTTAATGATTTTTTCATCATGTATTTATTGTCACCTTCATAAAGGTCTATATTTGCTGAAATTCGTTCAATTTCATTATCTGCCATTATCTCTTCAACTCTTGCATCTACCACACTCTCTGTCTCCATCCCTTGTGGAACTCCAAATAAAAATGTATCCAAACATTTCATTGTTATTCATTGTACTATCATTGTACTTTCTCTTACAATATTGTATGTATTTTGTACCCTTTTGCTTCTCCAAGCTTAAGTGTAGATACTTTCTTCTGACCCATTTTCCATTTCATTCATTCGCTTGTTCAGTTTTTCTAATCTGCTATTAAACTCATGCATTGAATTCCTACTTTCTTTCATTGATGGTAATTTTTTTTTATTTCCACAGTTTTTCCTTTCTTGTTGCTTCTAAAATTCTCCTCTTGTCACTTAATTTCTTGACTATATATCATATAATCATTTTTTGGTACTCTGGGCTGGACTGATTATTGTTTAACTCAATAAATTTTAAAAACATATTTATTATATTTTTAGGTGTAGATGGACACAACACAATGCCTTTGTTTTCATGTGGTGCTGAGGATGGAACCCATGTCCCACCCGTGCTAAGCGAGCGCTCTACCGCTGAGCCACAATCCCAGCCCCTCAATAAATTTTTTAATGAGACAATCTATTGAAAATATTATACCAAGGGCTGGGGATGTGGCTCAAGCGGTAGCGCGCTCGCCTGGCATGCGTGCGGCCCGGGTTCGATCCTCAGCACCACATACAAACAAAGATCTTGTGTCCACCGAAAACTAAAAAATAAGTATTTGAAAAAAAAAGAAAGAAAATATTATACCAAAATTTACATCTACTTATTCACATTCTTATTCTTAGACTTCTGCAACAAAGCAAGTGATTCCCTGGAATAATAATTCTTATGCTGGCCTCAGAAATATTCAAATGAGGAAAGCAGTAGGCAGTCTCATAAAACTATGACAGAGTCTCCATAAAATATCTGGCATTTTCTTAATGCTCTAACTATAATTAGAAATGTACCTGATGGAACCTGCTTAACCTTAAGGTCTTCATCAAAAGCGGACACAAAATAGAACTTTGTCTTCTGTATTCCTCAGTACTAAGTAGTCACCTACATAGAAGTTACTTTGTGAATACTTATCATGCAAACATTGGATCCTTGATACTCCTTAGCAATACCTAAAATTCTGCATTAACTTCTCAATTTTGTCATTACTCAATGGGTTATACAGGGGACAAACAAGGTGCATAGACAGTCCATCCTTGCACTGTGCTCAGATTGGCTCTAATGAACAATTGATAAATTTGGCATCAATCTGGATGCAGGTGAGCCCATATTGACAACATGAATAGGAAATTAATGAGGAAATTCTCTTTCCTAATACCTCAGAATTCCTCTTACCTCAGAAGCCTTGCATTTACTTCATGGTCACACATTTCCTTGTTTTCTTTTGCTTCCAAATGTTTGCCATGAGACTAGTCCTGTTGCTGTCTCCAAAATCTCAAGCCAAGCATGGTTTATTTTAAATTCCACATTTAATGGAATTTGAATTTCCTTGGGGTCTATTTCTACTACTCTTACTGATTTATTTTAGTATGAGTAGTTATTCTATATTGAAAGTCAAATATTCTGCATGGAAAAATATCAGTTCATGGTCTCAATGTTATTATCTTCAAAGATGATTTACTTCTGTCTCTTGCATGCAATAAGGGGAGAAGCAAATTATTTTAGTGCAATTGGGAATTGATTTGATGCAAAGCTGGATTTCAGAGGCTTTTGAGAGCTCATCTATTTCTTGTTTACTGTCATTTCCAGGGTTTATCTCTTTAGAGACCTAACTAGAATTCTAGGGTGTTTTCCAATCTCCCCCTCTTCATAGCCAGCCTAATTTTTCCCCAGTTCTCAAACCATCTGTCTAAAGCTCTGCTCAAATACTCTACTTCTCAGCCAGCTTTTTAATTAGCAAATGTCCAAAGAGAACAACACACCAACTGTTGGACTCACCCCTCGGTGGAGTTTGATCTTGTTTTTGTAAATCTCTGGGATTTAGTCCCTGCATTTTTTTTTCTTCCTTAATATCTCTGATAACTTGAAACATATTTATTTATTATGTCCAGCTTTTCTACCCAGGTTTTCTTGGCTAGGAGATTAGTCTGAAGTAGATCAGTCTATCGATGTAGAAATTGGTTGCCATATCTTCAGCACACTTTATGAGATGTCTCTTGACATCTCATACTAATGCAAATGCTATTTTTAAAAAACACTCTTTCATCCAAATTCAAATTCAATCTGAGAACTTACAAATGTTAAAATTACCTAAAATATTAATGAAAGTGATAAGTTATAAAATCAGTATCAACATCTCTTTACATTCTATTTACCATTGGTATTGCCATAATCATAATTTGAGTAGCAGAATGCTTGGAGTAAACTGAACAACGACTTTGAGATTCTATCTTTATTCCTTTTAAGCTTGGCTCCTCCTAACAACTTTCTATATTACTGGGCTTTCTACATTATCTCTTGGGGAAAAAAATTAGTACTAATAAATATAAGTACTTCCAGTTTTGCAGGACATTTGAATGTTATATGGTACATGAAACAATTCATTATATAACTGGACAATGCATTGCAGGATGTTTAGCCTCTGTGACCAGTTGACCAGAAGCATCACCTTAATAATTTTTAAACAAAAATGCTTTCCCCAACTGGAAGGAATGATTTTTTTTTTGTACCAGGGATTGAACCCAGGAGCACTTAACCAATGAGCCACATCCCCAGAGATATAGGGTCTTGTTAAGTTGCTTAGGGCCTCACTAAGTTGTTGAGGCTGGCTTTGAACTCACAGTCTTCCTGCCTCAGCATCCCAAGCTGGTGGGATTAAAGGTGGATGCCATGGTTGAAAGAAAGGATTTTGACTGTTCTAATTATAAAGAGATGATAAATGTTTGAGGCCAAAGATATGCTTACCCTGATTTGCATATTACACTATGTAAACACATGCTGAAACATCACATGGTAATCCATAAATATGCAGAATTATTATGTGCCTATTTAAAACATAAAAAATGTTTTAAATGCAAACCAAAAATAAGTGCTTCCACAATTTTCCAAAATATACTTTAGGCCTCAGTATCACTTTGGGGGGGAATTTTTATTAGATATATAAAATTCAGAATTTTATAGATTATAAATTAATGAAGGGGCTGGGGTTGTGGCTCAGTGGTAGAGAGCTCGCCTACCATGTGTGAGGCTATGGGTTCAATCCTTAGCACCACATAAAAATAAATAAATAAAATAAAGGCATTATCTCCATCTACAATTAAAAATATTTTTAAAAATAATTAATTAATGAAGATACTGCTAACCCAGAGTGTATGTGGATCCCAAGTCATCTTTAAGGGGCCAAAGGGCAGTATGAACTGGTTACATTATGTCTCCTGTTACCTCCCACACCTGGATAACTCCTAAGGCCAACTTAAAATCCAGTGAAACAAGTTAGTGTTAACATCCAAGACAAGTCAACAACAAACAGACTGATGTTTTTTCTTGGGTTAGGATGGATGGTGTGCTCATAAGCTAGATGGACATTATCTTCAGTAATGACCACCTCTTGTGTGATCAACTACAAAGTACCAGGCAATGCATTGATATGATTCTATTACCTTAATCCTTTCAGTATCCCTACAAAAAGGTAATAGAGATAAGCAAAAGGGGGTTTCAAATTAAAGGACTGCCCAGGATTTTTTTAAAAAAATATTAAGCATTTGTATGATTCCACTGCACTCTAACTGTTCCACTCAGAGCCACCAATCTTTAAAAAAAAGACTCATGCTGGTCTCCATCTTCTCCACCCCACCTCACTTCACAGGATCCCCAACCTCCTTCTCCTCCCACCCCAGGAAGGTAGGAGGGGCAACCTAATTGGAAGGGGCTGAAAATAGGTAAAAGGGCCTAAGAGGGACCTGGCAAGGAACTAGATCTCAGCTCAACGCCCCTGGCACTCCCCTGCCCACCCTCCTACCCCAACCTTGAACTTCCTTCCATCCTTGAAGTTCAGACTTGGGGTACTGAACCCCCTCTCTACCTCTTCAGCAGTGCAATCCTCCTGGCGGTTTCCAAACCCTTTGCCACCCCCCCCCTTGCCCACTCAGCCCCTCCAGCTGGGCGTCTAACAGACCATCTACCCCTGGCCCAGCTGCTGAACTCACTGCCCTCTGGGTTCTCTGCCCAGAGGTGAGGACTCTCACCTCCTGCTCAGCACTGCCACTTGCTGGCAGCCAGGATCTGCACCTCCTCCCAACCTCCCCAGCTGGGGCCAGGCAAGAGCCTCTGTTCCCTTGACTACACAGTACACAGAGCTACAGGAGCTGTGGGAGATGTGCTCCAGCAGAGCTGGTGAGGAGGCATGCAGAGGAGTCCAGAGCACAGGGAAGGAAAAGGCTGGTGAGGCTGGGAAGGCTGGAGGGGAGAGAAGTGCAGTTGGCCCCTAGGCGGAGTTTGGTCTGTTTTTTTTTTGTGAGAACTCCTTGGGGTTCAGGCCTCTGTTCTGTCTGGACTCTCATCTCCTCCAACAGCTTGCAGAGACCCGGTGCCTTCCCTAACCTGGAGTTTGTTCTTTCTTGATTTTCAGGGATGCCGAGTAACTACTCCTTTGGATCATGCCAACCCAGGAGGCTCTTTCCTCACTTCTATCCCCCAAACCGGATGGGGAACAACTTTCTCCCTCTTAGGGGATTTCCTCACACAGGGCCTGGAAGTTACATGACAGATGTGAGTATTCACGTTCCCTTACAAGGATCTGTTTTCTGGATGTGGAAGGGAGACCCAAGTCCCCTGGAAAACAAACGCTAGGCTTTGTGATCTTCTGGGTCAGAGCATGAGAAAGTGCTCAGTGGGCAACTAGCTGTCCCAGCCAATACAGAGAGTAAAGGACCATGTTTCCACCCAAGGCAAGCAAGCCTTGTCTCCATATGGTCCCACTCCATCCCCACCTCAAAGGCTCTGAGACAAGGCCAGTTCCTTCCCACTGGCCCTACCTTCAGGCTGCCAGGTGCAACTGGAACAAGTTCAGACCTATGAGATTCAGAGGATGGAATTTATTAGAATGCACAAAGATGTCATTTATTCTACCTGTCCAACCACATCCCTCTTTTAATCAGCTTTTGCCTTGCTGCTACCAAAAGACCTGATAAGAACAATTTTAAGGAGGAAAAGTTTATTTCAGGGGTCATGGTTCAGAGGTCTCAGTCCATAGATGGCCAGCTTCATTCCTTGGGGCCTGAGGGGAGGCAGAACATCTGGTGCAAGAAAGCAGCTCAGAACATGAGGGTCAGGAAGCAGAGAGAAAGCTCTGCTCATAAGAACATAACATAAACCCCAAAGCACACCCCAGGCACCCACTTCCTCTAGGCACACCCTATCTGCCTAGAGTTATCACAAGTTAATCTCTATGCTGGGGAGGGGAATTTAAGCGCTGATTAATCAGCTCAAGGATGTTGGAACAAAATCATTTCACCTCTCTACTTTCTTGCATTGTCTCATAAATGAGCTTTTGGGGGACATCTCACATCTAAACTATGACACAACCCCTTGCAAAATTACATGTATTATTTATGTGATTATTGTGTGGTATTGACCTTGAAGGAGTCAAGAGAGAAAGAGCAATGTCTTACAGAGTAGTTCAGATGAAGGCTGTTCACTGTGGTATTGATGTTTTTCTTTACTCCTTCTCTCTTTTTATTCATATGTTACTACTTGAAGTCCTATGGCTTGGCATACAACTTAACCAAGATTCCAACCAGTACAAAAGGATATACTCTTGGAGCCAGAACAGCTATGAGGTTTAAGCCAGTCAACAAGGTAAAATGCTGGGATTTTATGATGATCCATGTGACTGCATGAAATGTTTGGGCATTAGCTTTGCAGAAGTGTGTGTATATTGGGAAGAGCAAAAACAGTTCACTGAGAAAAATAGTCCTAACAAAGGATTTTAGTGCTGAGATGCATGAGGTCAAAATACTGGAAAATGTATTTATGTACATCATATTATCCTGTCAGTTAAAAAAACAGGTTCTAACTTTTCTATCCTTTTGTGAGATTGCATTTTAAGTCTAATCTTTAGTAAAGGATCCTAATCTCTTTCTCTCACTCTCTCCCTCCCTCTCCCCCCCCACCTCTCTTTCTCTCATGAAGTGGGTAGGGATGGGACCCAGGGACTTACTAGGCAAGTACACCACCACTGAGCTACATCCTTGGATCAAGGATCCAAAACTATGATTGGATATTTACTTTCATGGAAACTCAAGGGATACTGGCTCTCAAAATTTCTCAGTGGGACCAGGGGCATAGTGACTGCAAAAGTTGTCTTGGTCCTCTGCTCATCCTAGGTTTATACATCCAGCATGACTGACTCACATCTATAGCTTGGTTTTCTATCCACATAAGCCTATTTGTATATCTTGAAATGGCTGAACCATAGCTGATGTATAAATAGGAAAAGGACAGTTGAGGTTTTTTGAACTGCAAGCATTTCTGTGTAGGTATGTCTCCCTTTAACACATTGAATTTTTTTCTTGGTAATAGGAATTGACACTTCACCCAGGCAAGTACCAGAGAGTAGAAAATTGGAAGGAAAAAACAAAGCAAAGTTTTGTTCCATTTAATGCCTTGATGCCTCGATTTCAGAGCTATACAAAAGACAATTTCCCTGGGTATGTCTCCTCTTTTCTCTAGTATAGTTCATCAGTAAGCAATAGGAAAAGAAGTCCATAAATCAGTGATTATAACAAAACCATCCCACTCAATAAGAAACCACCCATCTTTAAAGATTTAATCCTCTTATCTCCCAGGTCTCTGGCCTTGTGTAATTGCAAAATCACAGTTATTCATCCAGTCAGTATTTATCAAGATGCCAAATAGTTTGGGTTTGTTTGTTTATTTTTGTTTGTTTTGTTTTCCCAGTACTGGAGAATGAATCTCTGAGCCACATCTCCAGCCCCATTTACATTTTTATTTTGAGACAGAATCTCACTAAGTCACCTAGGCTGACCCCAGACTCACAGTCCTCCTGCCTCAGCCTCCTGAGTCCCTGATAGGACAGATCTGTGCCATGACACCTGGCTACTTTGTAGTTTGTACTTAGTAGGTTGCAAAGTTCTTGCAGTAAACCCACCTCATGAGGTTCTGAGCTTGGAGTCTAGAGTCCAAATAGATGAGAAGTAAATACACAAGGAAATACCAGTAGTAGTAAAGACGGTGACCATGTAATTTATCTGTCCAACTGTGACACTTCTGAGAGTGAAAGGGAAGCAACCATGAGCTGGGGCTGTTGTGGACAAACCAAAAAGTACAGTGACCGGGAAAGGTGCTATGAGAAACTTTAAACAGGACCATGATGTGAAGGCAGTGGGTGGTTAAGAAAGGATGCTCTGAGCACATCCACTTGATCTGATTTTTGAGTGACAAGATTGAGCCAGCCCTGGGAAGATCTGGAGACAGAGCACTCCAGGCAGAAGAGGTCGGAAGTGCAAAGGCTGTAAATTGGGAAGAACTTGGTGTGAGGGAAAGAAGAAGAAGGCTCCTATGGCTAGAGGGCAGTGAGCAAGAAGGAAGAGAAGAGAGGGAGGGGCAGGTAGAGTAGAGAGGACTTTGGGGGTCAAGGGGCTTATTCTTAATGTGTTCGGAAACGACTGGGAATGTATGAAATTGCACAGCAAAGGGTCAGGGTCTTTCTTTTACTGATGAGAAGTCCAAAGATCATACAGTGAAAGTAACTTTTTCAAGTTTGTGTTAAGAAAGTTGAAGTGTTGAATCTTGACCCCCATGTCCACTACAGTAGAATTAACACCCGAAGATAATTTTTTTTAAATTTTGTATTTGTTCTTTTCAGTTATACATAACTGTAGAATATATTTTGACATATCATAGATACATGGAGCATAACTTCCCATTCTTGTGGTTGTACATGATATGGAGTTACGAAAGTTCATTCTTCTTGATGGCTGAGACATATTACATATGTGTATATATACCAGATTTTCTTTATCCATTCATCCGGTGAAGGGCATCTAGGTTGGCTTCATAGCTTAGTTATTGTGAAGTGAGCTGCTATAAACATTGATGAGTCCATGTCACTATAATATGCTGATTTTAAGTCTTTGAGGTTTATGCCATGAGTGGGATAACTGGGTTGAATGGTGTTCCATTCCAAGTTTTCTGAGAAATCTCCATACTGCTTTCCAACTTTCAGTGCCACCAGCAATGTATGAGTGTACGTTTCCCCCCACATCCTCGCCAATATTTATTATTACTTGTATTCTTGATAATTGCCATTCTGACTAGAGCGAGAAGAAATCTCAGTGTAGTTTTCAAAAGACAAAGTTTGAGGAACCAAGGCAATTCTAAAATAATCCATGGCCAAGAAATTTAATTGGTTCTGCTTTGATATCCCTAGATTGCAGATAGATTGTTTCAGCATTTTAACCACCAGCTTCAAATCAAAGAACTAATTTACCATTATCATGGATCTCTTCTATCAACACCTCTTTTGAGATCTTCTGGTGTCCCGGCTCAGAACACTGAATTGTAGAAATATTACCTTAGCTAATAAGAAATACATTAATAAGCAAAAGAACCCACGCTTGCCCAGCATTAAAAAGTTAATCAGTCCATGCCTTCTCCCAAGAGGTTAAACCTACTTCAGTGATGGCCATGCTACCTACTAGTGGAGTTCGTCCTATGCCACTGACTCATTAGACATGATGTATGTATTTTTTTATTTCTAGCCCTGGTGCATACAACCCAGAGAAGAAACCACTTCCAAAAGTTACTTGGCCAATAAAATTTGGATCTCCAGACTGGGCTCAGGTTCCAAGTCTACAGAAAAGAACTCTAAAAGCTGAGGTAATAAGATTGGATTTCTGTAGATCGCTCTGTCCAATATGTTCATATATATCAAGGGTTAGTAACCAGAAGCTTGTAAATGAAGTTCATGGTCCCCTGAAATTATATGCATAATTTTGTGTGCATAGAAATATGAGGATCCTTTTGAGAGAGTTACATAGTTTCATTAGATTTTTAACAGTGTATAGGACTGATTTAAAGTCATGTTATCTTATTTGTTCCTCAAGTCATCTTTTGGAGTAGGTTAAATATCCCTTTAAGACAATGGATGATACTGGCACCCAGGAAGATTGATTCATACAGGTCCTACAACTGGAATCCAGATCTTTTGACTCCTAATGCAGTGCTCTTTCTGACATAAAGTTGAGTGTTAAATGATTGGAGGGTTATAGAGCACTCTGGTTAAGAGCACAGACTTTGGGGATAATACTGCCTGAGTTCAAATACCAGCTCCTGTGTAGACTTGCTATGTGATCTTAGGCAAGTCCTTGAACTTTTCTAAGCATCTGTTTTTCCTACCTTCAAAATGAAATAACAACAGAGTTGATCTGATATGGTTGTAAAGATTAATAATGGAGAGAATGTATAAAAGCATTTAACACAGTAATGATAACAAAGGCTTCCGTCCATGCTAGCTATCATACTTCTTGAAATATACTTCTTTCCTAGTGGAATTTAGGATTAATTCCACAAATATTTACTAAATGCCTAACATATTAATACAATTGTGCTAAGGCATATAGGTAACATTCAAGAATTAGACATATAATCTGTGTCTTCAAGAAGCCAAGCAACTTTTTTTTTTATCATAGTGAGATGATAAATGTAGATGTGCACAAATGTTGAGAAAATGACTGAGGCTGGATTACTAGAAACTGGGGTTTACGTGGGCTGCACAGCTAGAATGCATGCTTCTATTTTGCATGCAAGGTCCTGGGTTCAATTCCCAGTGCCACACACACACACAGGAAGGCAGAGGATTCTCATTAGAACATTGTCTTTCATTGCAGCTGTCCACAGACAAAGAATTTAGAAAGCATCGGAACCGAGTTGCTTACTTAAGCCTGTTTTACGATTGAGAAGTGATCACTTCCTTCACATGCTTCTCCTGATCACAGACTCTTCAGAATAGAGGACAGACCTGCTCTTGGTCTACATCACCATGGCCCTCATGTCTTTCAGCCCCGGATCCAGAACGTGTTAAGGGGTTCACAACTGAGATTTGTGAGCATAATAACTGGTTCCAAGTGTTCTGTCTCCTGCTGCTGGTTTATGATCTGGGGGTTCCTGGTGGGTGTTCAGGTGGATGGTCTCATTTGAGTGAAATACTCTTGGGCCCTTGCCCTTTACTCACAACTCCCAGGGACCAGCCTTATATGTTCTACAACTAGCTCTGGTAATATATAGCTGTTGGCCTATATGTATTAAGATTTTGGATGGGATGTGGGCTTGCTAGACATGGAGGATGCTTAAAAGTGGGTTAAAACATTCCTGATTTAAGAGCTCTTTCAAACTTTAGTATGGAGTTGGAAGGCCCTGAGTTGGTTGCCTTTCCCAGACTAACATAAAACACAGAGAACCAAAAATTCCCCCCTCCGACTACATCATCTATTTAATCTGCTAGTCAACATATATATTGAGGTCATGACTCCATGTCAGTCAGTGTTAGGCACTAGAACATATTGGGATTCAACTTACACTAAGTTGATTATACAGTGAAAGTAACTTTTCAAGTTTGTGTTGAGAAAGTTGAAGTGTTGAAACTTGACGCCCCTAGTTCCTTGAGGCTGGCCAGAAGTCTGAGACCTCCCCAGGTTGACTGCCCTTCAGTCTGAATGACCTCTGGAACCTTATAGCTAGCCCAAGGGTATAAAGATCACAAAGCAGAAGCCATGTATAAAGTACTTACCCAGACACTCTGGTCTGGTAGATAGCCTTCTTAATTTTCAACATTAACTCTCAAGAATGTAATTTTTTCATGATTGGCCTTAAGTGTGGCCTATTTTATCTTTTATTTTTCTGCAGTGTACAGTGCTGGGGATTGAACCTATGGGCACTTTACCAGTGAGCTACATCCCCCGCCCTTTTTGTTTTTATTTTGAGACAAGTTCTCACAAAGTTGCTGAGGCTGGCCTTGAACTTGCAATCTTCCTGCCTCAGCCCTCCCAAGTCACTGGGATTACAGATGTGTGCCACCATACACCCAGATTTCTAGCTTATTTTTTAATGTGTAGGTCCTTTTGTACCCACTTAGACCTCTTAGTAATTATCCCCAAAACTCTGAAAGGGTCTGGATTTCAAAGAGTGAGAAGCTGATAGTGGCCACCGAAAAGTTCCAGCCCACTACAACCCTGAGAGCCACCCCACAGCAAGGGTTAGCTGGAGAAAAGGATAGACAAAAACCTCCTGGGTGAATGACCTTGGATAAGACTAATTCCAGAAGTGTGGGAGACCAACCTTACAGGTGACTGAGTCACACTCCCTGGCTGGGTGCTGAGGCACTCAGTTGCAGAAATGTGGCAGATCTTTCCCCACCCTTCTTGGGTCCCAGGATTGGTGTCTCATGTATGGGTGTGTCTTGCTACAGCCCCATGGGTGGAGCTATGCTCACCTGTTCCTTTGTAATATAACCCCTTGCCCTGTTTAGGATAGAATCTTCCATGGAAGTGCCCTATGTGTGTCCCCTTCTCTTATTGTGCCATTGGGTGTGGCCTACCCAGGTGTCAGTCAACCTGCTGACAGTGGACATCATGAAGATAGACTCAGCCCCCTGAAACCTGACCCCTTGCCTCATTTAAATAACTTCTCCTCAATAGCTATTCCCTTTCTCGGACTATACCCAAAAGACCTAAAAAGAGCATACTATAGGGACATAGTCTCATCAATGTTTATAGCAGCACAATTCACAATAGCTAGACTGTGGAACCAACCTAGATGCTCTTCAATAGATGAATGTATAAGAAAAATGTGGCATTTATACCCTAAAAAGTAACAAGATCATGGCATTTGCAGGGAAATGGATGGCATTAGAGCAGATTACACTAAGTGAAGTTAGCCACTCCCTAAAACACAAATGCCGAATGTCTTCTCTGATATAAGGGGGGTGACTCAAAATGGGATAGGGAGGAAGAGCATGAGAAGAAGATTACCACTAAATAAGGAAGTGAGGTGGGAGGGAAAAGGAGGGAGAAGGGGAATTGCACAGAAGATGGAAGGAGACCCTCATCGTTATACAGAATACATGTATGATGTTGTGAGGAGGGGAAAAAAAAAGAAGTGTGTCACATTACATTGGGTAGAGAGAGGGGAGGGGAGGGGCAGGGGGGGATAGGAAGGGCAACAGAATAAAATAGACATTATTATGGCTGTATGTATATAGGTGACTGTATGATCAATGTGATTCTGCAACCTGTACAATCAGAAAAATGAGAAATTATACCCCATTTGATTCAAATGTATGAATTGTCAAGATCATTGTATTGTCATGTGTAGCTAATAAATAAATAAATAAAAGGGGTCAGTGCGTGCTCTCGATCTCTCTCTTCCTGCGGACCCTTAAGGTCAGAGGAGCTGTCACAGCGACCCCAAAGAAAAAGGTATTTGTGTCTTTTGTGTGGTTATTTAAAGCAGCCCAATTAGCCCAGTTTAACTGGAGTGACCCCTGAGCCTTTTAGTCACAAGAACAGAAACCTGGCAATTGGTGTCCAAGGTGGGCAGAAAGGTCTGTGTCTAAGCTGCCAGGACAAAAGCGACAAATGCTGGCTCTTAAGGGGACTCCAATTTAAATATTAAAAGTTTAATGAAATTGAAAGTTCTCTCCAGAAGTTAAGCATGCTTAGGATTGCAGAGTATTGTGGGCTGAATTGTAGAAAGTAAGTGAATTAGACAAAAGGAAAATTTTAATATTGGGGTATAATTCAGATGATTAATGGGCTGTGTTGTTGAGTTGAGTCCTCTCCATGGAAAGAGCGCTTTTGTGGATTTTTTAAAATTGTTTTTATAAATCTTTATAAAATATTTTTGGGGGGCTGGGATTGTGGCTCAGCGGTAATGCTCGCCTAGCACGGGCAGGACCCAAGTTCAATCCTCAGCACCACATAAAAATAAAGGCATTGTGTTATGTCCATCTACACCTAAAAAATAAATATAAAAAAAGAAAAGATTTTTTAGCCCTTATGTTCTAGAAGTTTGCACTAGGAGAATGAGAAAAAGGGAGAGAAAATGTTGTGATGTTTACCTGGAAAGAAATAAATTTCAGTCTTCTATTGTTTTTGTCAATACTCAGAAAGTTTGTACTGACTTCTTTGCTACATGATTGTTCTGTGAATCAGAATGGCTGTGACTCAGTCGCTGGGGATGAGACTTGAGCTTGCTGCTTGCTATGGGGTCCTAGCCCCAGCGGCCAGCAGTGCTCTTAACCCTTAAATGACTTGACCTTAATGCTGAACACAGACTAGCTTAAAATCTGATGGTAACACTGGCATCTGCCGCTAAAAAATTTTGGAGCACCCATGAGCCACAAAAAAAAGTGCAGGATGCGGGAGTACACGCTCTGCAACTGCAGGTCGCAGAGACAAAGCAAGCTGCTACCCTAGTAGGATCTTGGCCAGGTGGGGAAAAATGCAGACAAAATCAAACGAAATACAATCGGCTAGGAAAACTCAGAAAACTTTTGACCCAACAATGGGCAGCAGACTCCATGTTGTTTGCGTCACCATGGTAACCATGTGGTACCTGGCCAGAGGAGCGGGCTTCCTGGTCCCACCTCCCGCACTTTCGCAGGCTTCCGATTGGTTCTTCCACAGTCACTCAGACAGGACTTCTAGTCCCGCCTTCCAGCCACTAACCTGTACTTCCTGATTCAGATTGCTATGGGAGCTGCTGGAGCCTGTATTTTTCAGAATGCCTACTTGTAAATGCTAACAAAAGATATCTTTTTCAGACAAAATTTAATTCCACAGGTTTCTATGTTGCAGCCCTAAATTTAAGTTAGTTCTGAGTTAAATAACCTGACTTTTCTTATAGTTGTGTTACTAAATAATGTTCTAATAATAAGAGATATCAAACATGCTTCTTTATATTTAACTTTAATTTTGGAGGTTATGGGGATGCATTTGCTCGCCACAGGAACAAAGCCGGCAATGTTCCTGTGATGACCAAAAAATCCTTATTCTCATTCCTGACTATAAGAAATAAATATGTGTACACAAAAATCTTATTTCAGTTACATCAAGTGACGTTACATAAAAGAGTGCACGCCTAGGTAAAAATAAATTGAAATGGATCCAAGTATTATAAGAATCACATAGTTACATAAAGTTAATACAATTATAAGTTATGTCCTTATTCTTTTTTTTTTTTAAGAGAGAGAGAAAGAATTTTTAATATTTAGTTTTCAGTGGACACAACATCTTTGTTTGTATGTGGTGCTGAGGATAGAACCTGGGCCGCATGCATGCCAGGTAAGCGCGCTACCGCTTGAGCCACATCCCCAGCCCATGTCCTTATTCTTAATATATATATTTTCTAGGTATTCAGATAACCTATATTTGTTAATCTATAAAATAATTAGCACATGTCTAATTGTTTAGTTAATATATATTTGTCTAATTGTTTTTCTTCAACAGAAAACCCATAATTTATGTTTTATATGTACATTTTTCGGATACTCTGCCTTTTCAGTTACAGATATTTGAGATAAATATATTTACTATAAATTTGCTTTTAAGTGAAAATACAATCTTCAAGTAGTTTCTAATTCTCAAAGTTATTGTTCAAACTCATAAGATAATAAAAAATTATAATTATGTCTACAAAATATCTAAGGATTTTAACTATATTTTCATTGATATTTGTTATCAAAGTACAATAATTTGTTTATAAATTCTAAGTTTTTCAGAAATTGTTCCAAAGTATAACCAGAAAAAAATTCTAAAAGAAAAAGATGCTTCAACAAATAGAAAACACACATTGGATGCTGAAAAGAAGAAAAAAATCATCCTTGGGTAAAACAAGGTCTTTATATTCTAGATTTTAATGATAAAAATATTTTCCTAAATAAAAAGATTTTTATATTATTATCTAAACAGATGATGTAAAAAGTTAAAACAATTAAAAAAGATATTTATATATACTGGACTGACTATAAAAATTTTAACTGATTAATTCAAGGATATTTCAGGCTATTTTCCTAATTTAACTATACTGATGTGAGCTAAGATTTTGTCCATATTTTGACATGATAAGCACCTATTAAAATGTTAAGTTTATTTCCTTAAAGAACGATCTTTATTGCCTAATATTTCTTGCTGCTTAAGGCAAAGATTAATTTTGGTAAATAAATTCACATTGTTGATTAAACATTAAGTATATTAAACTGCTAACTTAGATCCCAATTTTGACAATTGTCCTTTAAGATTAAATTTGATTGATTCTAGACACTAAGATACTGTTAATTTTTACATATTTGTTTACTAAATAATTATAAAAATTAAAAAAAAATATTTTATTAGAACTGAGGTTCTCCAAATTAAAGTCATTTGTTAATTTTAAACAATAAAGGTTACAAACTTTAAAAGTTCATTGATATTATGTAAGTTCTCTGACTGGACCTATTATCTATGAAAATATGTTAAGATTTATAAAATGCTCCCTACACTAAAAGATAACCTTAATCATACTTTTTTAAATGCAATTAAGAGATACCTATTTAAAGGATAATATTCTAAAATATAGAGATATTTTGAGACCTTCTTTCAAAGAGATTGAGGGTTCTTTCTAAATTGTTAGGATGGATCGACTAGTCTATATTGGAAAATTATAATAATCAATAAAAAGTAAATCTATTCTTATCATTTAAATACTTGGACTATTATCTATAACTTAAACTAATGATACTATGACCGACACCAAACCTTTACTCAGTTTTATTAAATAAAGAAAAGGGCGAATACAGGGCCCCAGAGACGCACACTAGATTTTACAAATATTTTAAAGTTTTTTCTTAAATTGTAATATTGAGAGTCTTAATGTTACTGAACATGATTCAGTAAATTAAGTCAGATATCAAAGGAGAGTTTAAACCAGTCATCATGATAATGACTGAGAAACCTGGCCCAGGAAGGTCAATTTCCAGCTACAGAGTTTATAGCCATGCAGCTTCACGAGCTTGTCAGGTAAATAAAAATTATGAAAAGACTTCTATGGACCCATTTCCCAGGTCCATCTTTAATGTGTCTTGCTTTGTGGACTGGAAAGTCCACCCATGAAACTAGATTAATTGTCCTGACAGTAATGGTCAGTTATACCTATATATTGATTCTATGGTAAAAGGCTGTCTGTTGAAATAACGGATTCTTCTGCATCCATATGGATGGCGGCTATGGATGTAAGTAACACCAAGAGCCAGTTCTCTATGAGGGATCGAGTCTTAGCACTGCTCTCCTCTTCATCTATCTGTGTCTCTTGGCTTTGTCACAATATTACTGTTTGTCTGTCTATGGCCTTTCTCCTTCCTTCCTGAACGCAGCCTCACCAGCCCAGTGCTGTGAGCTGGGCCCTCCATGGAGAAGAAACCTGAGTTTGCTGATCTTAAGGTCTTTTGCTGGTGTGGAGGCCACAGGGGCATTATCTACCAAGGAGACAGAGAACCCTCTCGGGGACAATGCCTTGCACACTCCACATCACCCTGTTTGGCCCCGGAGGATGGCTGATCAGTCAATAATGGGTAACATTCCTCAAGGGAGGGACAACGTAAGACAGGCACAGTTGCAGAGGGGCCATCAGGAGAAAACTTGGGGGCCAACAGAGGTGAGGCACAGAATCTCACCCCCCCCAACTGTGCAAAGGCCTAATTCTTCTCCCCTTCTGAGAGAGGTCTCCTGCCCCATGACTGCTTTGCTCCCCACATCCAGCTCAGATCAGAACCCAAGTGAATGACAGGCCTAGTCAACAGAGACTGCCTGCTCACCACAGCAGGAAACAACTGCAGCTACAAAAATGGGCCATGTCTGGATGCTTTTCTCTTTCTTGTTTTTTTCTAATCTTTTTTTTCCTACGCTTTTCCCTTTTCCTTTCTTCTATCATCAGGGTTCTCCTTTGACAATAAATTTAATAAAGGGAAGGAAATGTTAGAATAGCCTTCAGTTGCAACTAACAGCTACGAGCATTTAGAGTTTCCTCACAGTGTGATTACATTAGGCAGAAGATGATTGGCTTATGGATATTATCTTGCTTATGAATGATTGACAGGCACGCCCACTTGTGTGCATTCCAAAACGAAACTGAGCTACTGAACATTGACTTGAGGTTTGTCACCTCAGCTCCCGTGACTGAGGTAGCCAAAGTACCCGAGCAACAAATTGACCACACCAGTGACAGAAACATATGCGAGACAGCAGATAAAAAAACCCAAGCCAGCCAATTATGCTGGACTTTAGTGACTAAGACTACATTTACCTATATGGACAATTGTTGCAAAGATTATTAAAATAGATTTTTCCAAGAGTATTTATATTTCTGACAGACCTAATTAACTCATTAAATGTGAGAGTTAAGAAAAAAATGATAAATACCCTGTAGCCTGTAAGAATACAACTTAT